TTTTGAAGGGGTAAGGTATCCCTTTCACCCACCCAGCAGACTCGCAATGCATCACACTACATCACACACGTCCTGCACTTTGACCCCCTATTGCCCTTTGGGACGCCGACCTTTACCGCTCGCTTTTGTAATCAGTTTCACTCTGCGAGGGCTTTTCATCTTCGGCGTAGCCCTGCCGAGGAAACTGCACAGTGGGCTGTTCGGTGAGATCCTTAAAGAGGGTGACTATTTTAAAGCTGGCGAATTTAGTGCAAGGGTCTTTTTTATTGTAAGTCACGTGTGTCAATGCGCCCTTGTTTCAAGTGTGCACTCATACAGCTAATTTAAATAGTTGGTAGTTTGCCATGCAATTTACTTCACCTTGAAAACAAATCAACCGGTCACTTTTTTTCTTCACTTGACATGAGCATCCAGGCATAAAACAATCTTCCAACAAAAGTAAAAATGCCATTCTCTGTTAAATGCATTGCTGTGTGTGAACGCACCTGGCTTTTGCATTGTAACATTCTTTCCAGACAGATCAAAAGAAGAGAGAGAGAGAGAAAAACCCCACCACAAAATGAGACAACAACAAAAATACGTTGGCAAAATGTTATCTTGCCTTTCATTACTCCTTGCGAGATCTATTTTCTATCAGCCTGTCTGCGTTTGTTCGTTTGTTTATAGGGGCATTTCCTTGGTAATTTCCATAACAGCAACACGCCCTGAAAAGAAAGTCGTGGAATTCGCCAGATAATTACAGCCACGTGCTTGTCCCCCCACATTGCAACGCGCTGAGCAGGTGCACGCAATATTACCGACCCGTCACAGTGTACTCTATCCATATTGTATTCGCATTTGGCTTTGCCCTCTGAAGTTTTTTCACAGAACTTCGTTGAATGTGACAAACGTAAAGCGGATATTTTACACAAGGCGGGATTGCAGCCGCGCACGTTGGACTTGCGATCTGGCAGTCGCTGGTTCGATCTCTGGCTCAAATTGAAACAGCGGTGCTAGTTTCTTAAATTCCTCCGCCTCTGTCCATCCAGCAGTGTAAATGGGTACATGCGCAGTTAGTCGATCGCAGGTCACGTGTAGTGGGGTAAACTGGGGTCACTCCCACCTTGTCCAAATCCTCAGGTTGGAAGAGTAGCCCAAGTACCCAACTGTCTAGAGCGGCTTACTAGAACTCCCTCTAGTGGAGGCCCTTTTGCTAACAGTGGCAGCGCAATACATTGCAGGGCTACACCTTTACGTATAACTGTTGATGGGGTACACCTAAACCCTCTTGGGTTCATCTTTAAGTCAGTTGGTGGGAGCCTACGGACCTTGGCGTGTCAGTATTAAATGGCCAAGAACTGCAGAATCTGGCAGAAGCAGGGAAGCGATGGTGAGGTATGAGAACGTTAAACTGCACTGGCTGTCATAACCTCTTGGCCATTGTTCTTCATTTGCAAACTGGCTATGACTCGACTTATGCTTGTGAATGACATCACAGGAGTATTCCAGTAAATGTCCACTTCACAGCAGATGCTGCACTTTGAGGATTTTCCTGGATGGTTTCAAGAATGAAATTGTCGCCAGCTGGCAGTAATGAGCATGGCGCTGAATAGACTATCCACTCACCTAAACTATATATATACACATTGTTAGATGTCCATCCGTCCGTGTGTGTCCATCCACCTGAGCTACGGGCAATCAAAGGTGCAAGCATCAGCAGATGGTTTTGCGGCAATGCTGCATAGCTCTCCAATGTATTGTCTTCTCGTGTTGTACTGCGGGTTATTCAGCACGATGTCTGACGTTCGGCTCCACATGTTGGAAGCTTCTTCGGCACCTGAACACGATAAGGAAAAGCCGACTGCAGTTCCTAACGAAGCCCCCAGCATGGGGAAGTGAAACATCCTGGCATCGTGCCAAACTACGTGGGCTGAAACTCGAGATCGCATCGGACGGAGAGCTAACAGCCCTGCAAGTTCAACAAATCATAGTGCAGCAGCTCATCGTGAATGTGAAAAAGTAACTAGTACGAAAAATGTGTAATTTTACCAGGCAATGCTCACTGAGCTACATAGCTGTTTTTTTAGAAGCGACCTGGACAATAATGATAGCTAAACGAAGTGGCTTATAACGTGGAAATGTAGAGTAGCCAAATGCAGTCCTCTAAACGCATGTTTCTAAATGTGGAGGGGAAAACCGGAGGACCTGGAGAAAAAGCACGCGACCACGGGGAGGACACGCAAAACTCCAAATATACAACAGGCGTTAGGGTCAGGATCGGACCCACGACCTCCTGTATACCAGGAGAGGTAGTTAACATCTCGCCACCGCTGCAAATGTTAAAGAATGGGGAGGGGGAGGGGGGGCATAGTGTGAGTTTTGGGGAGGCCTTAAACTGTCAACTTTCATCGGCGTTTTCCCGTAACATAATAAGGATGCAGAATTCGTGTTTGTGCATTCTCTACCATGTCCCCTCCTTTCCCCCATATACTGTCGTGGTGTAAGAATGGTCAGCACCCTGGAGTTGCAATCCAGGGATCACTGGGTCCATCTCTCGGCGGGGCAGTTGAAACATTGGGAGAAAAAAAATTCTCCTCCCACCTCTGTCCACCCAAAGTTAAAAATAGGTGACACCACAGTTAGTCAGTCGGAATGTTACACGTGGTTGGGTCAAATGTGGGCATTCTCACCTCTCCCAAGACGGCTGACCAGCAAGGTACAATGAGCTAAAATACCGACTCACGGAATGTCTCCTTCCCGTCAGTAGTGCCTATGCAAGCAATTGCAGGGCTGCACCTTTAACTTTTAAATTATATGATTCACATAGCGTTCATGTTATGATAGGGATCTCTAAACTAAGCACCTCAGGCGTAACGATGGCATTGGCCCAGGAGTTAGAACACAACCTCCGGCTCGCCTGATTTGTGTTGCCTGTTTCAATACAAATCAGACAAGGGCACTCGTGTCATGCACCCATACCCAGCCTGCTTGATCTCTACATGACATTACCCTGGACAATTGTGTCACTGTCAGCTTGATTCATTGCTGTGATGAAACTAAAGAAGGTGTTGCCCAATGCCTGCTGTAAGTCATTTGACTGTAAGTTTACGTTACAAGATATCTCCAGATTACTGCATTAATGGTTTATTACGCATCGCAGGAGCGTGGATCGGGCACTGTATATCAAACAGCGCCACCGAAATACGTCTCAGGCGTTGTTTTAAACATACAATGGCTGCATTAAGAAGGAAAGGTCAGACTGGCCGGACTTCAAAGCCAAGTTCCCCTATCAGATGAGTCTACTGTGAAACTGCGTCCCATAACAACCTGCATGGCACCGCACATGCTGGTGGGACGGTGCGACAGTGGCTTGTGCAGCAACTGTTGTCAGTGGAAGTTTTACTCGGTCACCAGAGCCGGGGAGACCTTCAGGACGTCTTTCTGCAGACCCGTGAGCAATTGTTGGACGATGGTAAAGCGCATAGTTTGGCATGTATTACATTGTGCGACTTTCATTCTAGATTCGAGTCACTTCTTCAAAGTCAAAGATACATTTGTTGGCGTGTAGCAGAGTCATGATTGGTTTATCATGTTTAAGTGATCCGATTGATGATAGCATGTCGACTGACAGCATAATCTTTGTTGAGTGTATTTGAATAAGCTCTCCACTTCAATGACTGGCTCCTTGTGTTTGCAGCCCACCACCTTATCTCTGACAGCGACTGGTTTGCTTCTGTTACACCTGAAAATGTTCTCGTGGTGTACATTAGGCAATGCACTTCCCCATGCAAGGCGCTTGTATGCGGGTGTTCTTAAGTTTTAGCATTGGGAAGGTAAAGGTGCAAAAGCGCAAAGCATTGCATCGCATGTATTAAACACACGAATATATTAATATACAGCAGCATTTTCATTGACGAAAGAAAGTAACATGTAAGTCCATCAGCAAATTATGCATCACTTCGATCAATGTTTTTAAATAGCTACAGTGGCAAGATGTACCTTGCCTGGTATGCAGGTGGTCGTGTGTTCGATCATGACACTTATGCCTGTATGTTTGGAGTTCACATGTTCCCGATTTTTCTCCTCCACAATAAGAACACGCGTTTAGAGTATTTAGCTGCTGTATATTTCTGCGTGATAAGCCACTTCGTTGAGCTATCATTTGTGGCCAGGTCGCTTCTGAAAAAGAGCTACATTGCTCAGTGGGCCTTACCTGGGAACATAAAAAATAGTTTAGTTTTAGTTTAAATAAGGTCAGCACTGGATCAGTTTAGACAATCTTTGACTTTCACCAGCAAGGTGAGACCCATGAATATTGCTGGGTAGTCTGATTCTACAGGTAAGAGCTGCCCATGAATAACAACACGGAAAGGCGTGCAGGGGTGCAGACCTGCAATTTCTTGATCACAACACTTTTGACCAAAGGGGCTTCTTGCAAGAGGAATCTCTAGAGAAACCCTCTATGGAATATTTGGCCTTCTTTTCCACGCCGACCAGACGTCTTGGAAGAGATGTTCCCACCGCTCTACCCCGTGAACTGTAATGCATGTTTGTATGAAGACGTATTGAACAATCGTCGTATAAGACGTATTAAACAATCATTAAATCTTGACTTAAAGCTTTCATGACTGTCGGAATTCATATTCTTTGGGTCTTTCGGTGAAGCCACGTAGATAGATAAAATAATAAAATAATAATAAAATAAATGTATTATTTCATATATCTACGTGGCTTTACCGAAAGACCCAAGTAATATAAACAATCACTGTGTAATTATAACTGAATCCAACTGTTGTTCATTTAGGGCTCCGGCTTCCCAACTCAGAAATGGCTCTTCAAATAAAAACAAACTCCTGTCGTGACGGCCGTGTGCGTTTGCGTCCATCTCGCTTGCGAGCAGCAGCAAAAGAGGCCTCTGCTCTCGGTGTGCCGCTCGCCGCTCGTAAAAAAAAGATCACGAACCGACGTTGTTACTCCTCTCTCCCTCTCCACCTGTCCGTCTGTCCGTGCGGTGCGAGCAGAGCGCAGGACGGGCGAGCGGGGCGCGCTGTCCACGGCGCTGAGGTCGGCGCAGCGGCGCTTGTGCGAGATGGGACGGGCGCACCGCGCTCCGCCCGCCGACTGCAAAGCGGCGGCCGCTGCGGTGGCCCCCGCGCGCAGGCCCGGCCACGGCTCTTGCGCCGTCAGCTACAGCAAAGGCAGAGGCGTCAAGGTGCTCGCTTCACGGCAGCAGCGGGGGCAGGGGCGAGGGGGGCAGGGGCGAGCGGGCGAGGGGGGTAGGGGGCGAGTGGGCGAGGGGGGCGAGGGGGTTAGGGGGGGAGGGGGCGAGGGGGGTGAGCGGGCGAGGGGGCGAGGGGGGTGAGCGGGCGAGTGGGGTGAGGGGGGTGAGGGGGGCGAGGGGGCGAGGGGGGTAGGGGGCGAGGGGGGCGAGGGGGCGAGGGGGGTAGGGGGCGAGGGGGGTAGGGGGCGAGGGGGGTAGGGGGCGAGTGGGCGAGGGGGGTGAGGGGGTAGGGGGGCGAGGGGGGTGAGGGGGGGAAGGGGCGAGGGGGGTAGGGGGCGAGGGGGGTAGGGGGCGAGGGGGGTAGGGGGCGAGGGGGGTAGGGGGCGAGGGGGGCGAGGGGGCGAGGGGGGTAGGGGGGCGAGGGGGACGACTGACTGAAGCAGGGGAGGTGGGTAGAGGGCAGATAACTTTTGTTCGGTCCAAGTAGAGCGGGAACGTGGAACCTCAGAGACATCCTGTTACCGTTCCGAGAAATACCGCGAATGTCACTGACCCTGATTTGCAAGACTTTTGTAAGCGGGTGGAAGTTTTGGTGGGGTTTTTTTCACGAAAGGGACATATGCATATGTGTGGGTAACATGTTTTTTTCATGAAGCCATGCAATGCACAGAAGAGTCTTCCTGCCGTTTCATTATCTTTGTTTTCCTTGAGTGAAGCGTGCATGCTGGAACACATGGCTAATCTGGGTGAAAAGAAGGTTAATCCCTTGGCATTGCAGCAGTAAGTGGTTGCAGAGAATTGTAGACATAACATTTTCTATACAAGTGTTGTGTGTGTGTGTGACTGGGCAACGGTAGTGTCACGGTTAGCGCACTGCTCTACAAATTCGGCGACCCGAGTAAATCTGTGGCAAATACCCATTCCTTTTTGACATACTGAATTTCCTTATATTATATGGCAACAGCTTAACTCTATTGACTTCTTGTAAAATCAAATCAGTTATACTACGTAAATCGTTTTCTGCATTATATCCGTGGCCTCGTGAACTTGTGTCAGCCAATCACTAAAGCCTGGGCACATTAAGGATTAATGTTTATTTTTTTAAGTACGCGACAGACTTTTTCTGTGAGGGATATGTTTTGGATTTCATTTTTATGCATATCAGAGCGTATGATTGTTAAGGCCCAAATTTGTATATTTATTGTAAATATCGTTTGCTTTGTGCATACTCTATTTGACAAGGTACAATTTACCATACTCTTTGACTGACTGTTGCGGGACACTTCTCAGGCAAATTGCATTGCCCCTATCCAGAGGCAATGCAATTTTTACATTATTTAACTCGTTTAACTTTCCATTTCAAAACGGCGTTTTACAGCTGCCGTAGCCCATGCTGCAGACGTTGTATAAGAGCCAAGCACAGGAAATCGCAATAGCTTACACAAACAGGTGCTTTCCATACCAATATTCCCTCTTTTTAAATGTTACACTTACTTAAATGTTACATAGGAAGTGAAAACATACTTCTGGCACTGTGACACAGAACTGTTGTGAGCTCAGGGGGTTGATGTTGATTGATTTATTTTGACGTTAAACGGGGAAAATCAAATATGTCATTTAACACTACTGCGGTGAGCAAAACCGCAACTCATCATGGCTTTAAGAACGTATTAAAGGACGTAGCTTTTAAATTGTACTGTGAAGATCGTGGCCACTTCACGTTATCAATGGCTGTACTTTCGGCCAAATTAAATCTATTATTATATGCTTGTAAAAGGGCTAGAATGCTTGAATGGGAAGTGTGTCGTTTATCTTTGTGGACACCGTAGAACCCAGCATTCTATACTCAAAGTATCTCCCTGTTCAGACAAGAGTGGAACATATCTAACCTCCATGGGCAGCCTGAAGCCAATGGTGGACATTCCACATTGCTATGGCATAATCCGGTTTCTTCTCGGAATTATGTTGCCAATTTCCCACCGCTCGGTGGTTGTTGGTTAACTCTGGAGGAATGATCATGGAGTGTCGATCCACGAGTGGAGGAGTAGAAGGTCCGGGCTTTGCTATCATTTGTCAGTATTTTATCAGCATTTGTTTGGCGAGTTAAATGGATCCAATGAGTACTCGTGAGCCAATTTAGAAGCGGTTCATATTCTCAACATGTGTCTTTGTGGTTTGGAAAATGTAAACTCTTTCATGAATAAGGTTCTTTCACAGAGCCCATCGTCTTCAAGCCACCAGATCTCACCATTGTTTTACGAACAGGTTTCCAATGGAAAATAGAGGACTTCGTTACGTAGTTTGGGGTGTCGAGAGCATTTGAAAGCGGGTTAGGTAGTCACCCTCTATAAACTCGTTGGGTGTTCCTTTCTATGTAATACTATTATAATAATCCATAATAATAATAGTCACTTATTTACCCAGGAAAGCCACAATGAGTAACAAGATACTTTTCCAGAAGTGGGATGTTTGGCCAACACAAATTGTATTGTTCGTTTGTAGTTACGGTAGGAAACCGAAGAACCCAGAGGAAACCCCATGCAGAACTGGAGGAGAACACACAAACTATACACAGAAAGGTGCCCGAGTTTGGAATCGAACCCAGGACTCCTTACTGCGAGGCACAAGTGTTACCACTTTGTCACCCTACCGCCCGTACTTTAGTCTACATTCTTACAGTTAGCAGTTTCTTCTTCCAGTGAGTTATTTTTTAGGTATTTACCAAAATAACTGTACAGTGAATCTTATGCATCAGGTAATATAATGTGCAAGATGCAACCATTGTTTTTAAGATGTTTTTAAAGATGTTTTCTTGTTCATGTTTTAGTTTTTGTTTGTTGCGGTTGCACCCGATTCAAGAGCCGAATGGCTCACAGGGCTATACCTAATAAATGAAAACTGAAACTGTAATTGTCACAGCCATGAATTCCACTTTTTAAAACAGCATGCACCTATGGGGAAAAAAACTCTAACGATACAGAACTAGAGACGTAAGTCTCTTTTTGCAGAAGTCACACGGAGAATCAATTACAGTCATCGTTGGATATCACTTTGTTGAATATAGGATCTTGATGGATTGATATTGTACAGGTCATTTGAGATTGACTGCCTCTAGTGTGGACCCTTGCCTTGCTCACATTTAGATCCGTAGATCCGACGTTCCCCGTGTTGTTTTAACGTCGACTGCAGCTGCACCTCTGCTGCTTGCTACACAAATTGAGCTCAGGCAGAGGCTGATTAAAATGTACGTAACAGGTGCTTGCATTGCCAAAGTACACACTCTTTAAACGTTGCTATGTAGACTTGGCAGGGAAGATTGTTTTCATAAGTGCATACATTTTTCATTTTTACGATATGCAGTATATCATTACGAAAATATCTGAGGTTGACATTCTGGTGAAGGCTACGAGGTAGAGTGGTGGCACAGTGGTTAGCGGCACAGCGCTGTGCACCCGGCGACCTTGTTCGATTATTTGCCGCGGTTATCATCAGTTGCGAGTGATAACTGAACCAGTTCTGCTCCACCCCCGTTCACCAACACACACACGAACCAGCATGGTGAAGTATGGTTAAACAATAACCGACATGGCTTAGGAGGGCTGTAAATTGTTATTTAAATGTTTCCAATTTAATGATAAAATATTCAGGTTCATGGTCCAAACAAGAATCTCACATATTATATACATCATTGTACTGCATAAGTATGAATTCTGGTGTAATTTTGGCTCGATATCACTCAATGTACAATTGCATATCTACAAGTTCAAATCCCAGTCAGAGGTCAACCAGCCTATCATCCATCCGAGGCCGAGAGAACAAAGAGCACCACGTTGTGGAAAATCATTCTTGACCATTGCATGGCTAGACTGGCCCCTGCCTAGTAATGTGTAATTTCCACATTGACTTATGCCACCAACATAGATAACCATTGCACCAGTGTTCATGCTAGTACGAGGACATTTGGGCTTTTTTTTTACTTTGACATATGCTTTAAGAATTACGTGGTCACGCTCTCAAAATCAACGCTTAATATTTAGTTTACTGTAAAGAAAAATAAAACGTGGGGAGTATTTCTTTAAAACGGCACGCCATGTGTGGTCAAACACACGCTTATAACAGCCGTCCTTCTCAAACGGTGACTGCAAAAAAGGTGGATTTAGCTAACCGCAGTAAAGGTCAACAAATGTTGGGTTTATTATTCCATAACCTGAGGCTAGCAGGACCACTGACCTTTACCACTGCAGAGAAGAATAAGATGTGAAAAGTACACTCCTTTTTTTATTTAACTTTGAAGGCCATCTCAGATTCTACGCTGTGGCCCGGTCCGTGTAGGGTTACGTTTGTCAATGGGATTATACAAATTTGCTTCATGCTCACCACATGGTAATAAATTACATTCCGAAAGCGCTTTTGATCCGTAGATCCCAAGCTCCCCCTCCACTCCGTTATGACCATCATAGAATCTGCAAATGATGAGAATAACTGATCGCACCAGAAAAAAATAGTGCGGGCAGCAAAACCTTGAGTTTCAGACAACGTGCGGAAACGGGTCAAAAGCACTCGGCCTTTGTGCATTACACAAAATCCATCAGCGTTTCCTTGAAGAAGTGCATTATGCAGTTCTTTGTCCAGGACATATGTCAAGGGTGATTATTCATAAACAATTAGGTAATACTATATTGTTTCATTATATTTGCTTTACAGGATGAGAGCCCGTGGGGATATGTGCGCATATTGTTTTGAGTAGAGTACTTCATTTTTTTGTTTACTGTTTTAAGGCACCAACGCAAACCATTGAGAACCAAAACATTTGATGAAAGGGAAGCTTGGAAAGCTGTAGGTGATTGATAGATTAAGCCGATTGACAAATCTATAGGTTCACTTTATTTATCCAGAAAAAGGGCCCATTCAGATGCAATTATCCTTTGGAAGGTAGGTTTGGAATAAGAATAATACATCGTAAAAAAGATACAGCAGCAAAGGGTGAGCCAACCCAATACATAGGAAAGTGTGTGAAATTGTCAAACCTTCAAATTGTCTGCAACTCAGTGATCAAAAGTACAGGAGAACAGCTTGATAACCCACACCATCTAATTTTCCAGAGAGATAACTTTTTTTGAGAGTAGCCATTCAAGTGGATACAAATACATGTATGTATGTTAAATTTCTCTCGCACTGTACATAGCCAACAATGCAAATTGGAGGTGCGGAGAAGGACAACAAACTAAACACAAAAAGTAGTTCTGAAGAAATTAGTTTTGAATCTAGATTTAAGAGTGCATAGCTCCAGTGGCTTCCTAATATCAGAAGCGCATCTGAAATCGTGCCATGCAGTGACCATATTTATTCGATGGTTACGCCAAAAGCCGCTGCGAGGATGACCGTAGTTCGCTTGATGGTTTATGCTCCTTGACGAGATCAGCAAAGGTATTGTGCTTCATTTGTGACAAGTACTCTGTGTGTAATGAGTGCGACCTTATGATGTATTCGTTCGGCAACTGTGCGCCTATGTAAATGCATATACAGAAAGGATTGCTGCCACTGTGGTGTAATGGTTGGCACACTGGACTTGAAATCCAGAGGTCGGCAGTTCAATCTCCCCGCGTGGCCGTGGACAAATGGGGGACAGTTCTTAAATAACCCTCTGTCTCTTGTCACCCAGCAGTATAAATGGGTGCACCATGCTTAGTCGACTGGGAAGTCACGTGTGGTGAGGTAAAGTGTGGGTACTCCCACATTTATTGACACATCGGGCAAGTGTGGCAAAGTAAGCCAGACACTCGGCAGAGGTGATCCTTGGAGTCACCTTTGTTGGACCTCTTTCTGCTCACAGTGGAGTGAGCAGGCAACTTCAAGGCTGTAGCTTCGCCTTCACTAATCAAGAAGTAATGTGGCTATGGCGAGGGTGGCACCATGATACGTGGGATGAAACTGTTCATACGTGTATTTACCTTTCACGTTGGTGTTGTATACGACCAACCAAATCATGATTGGGTTGGGGGTTATTGAACCTTCAACCTTCATAGGAAGTGTCATTCAATGTTATATATTGATGTATTTTTAAACATTCCAAAAACAGTTATCGCATTGCACTATGAGCCCGCTGAGCTGAACTTTATTCCCAGACATGACAAGCATCAGTGGCACGTGATATTTTTGTTGGTCCTGGCCTCCCCACCTTCAGCAGCCCGTACCGACCAGCATAGAGAAGTATGGTCAAACAACCCCCGTGTGAGACACACATGGAGGGACACACACACGGGAATAGAGACACACGCGGAGAGAGACACACGTGGAGAGAGACACGAGTAGAGAGACGCATGGGGAGAGAGACATGGTGTGCGGAAGCCTTCATCCAGAAGCGAAATGACACAGGGCAGTATTGTTTATTATTTTATTTTCAGCGTACATTTATTTAGCGTTTCAAGCAGCAGATCCAGCGATGTGATCTACAGCAGTGGCCCTGAAGACACGAACCTTAACAAAAAGACACCACACACACACCGCACCCAGGGGATATCTCGCAGATGGGTGAGCAGTGTGGAAACCCTCATAGAGCAATCTGAGACAGATAAACGTGGGCCGAGCCACCTCATCAGGAAAGATATTATATTCCGGACAGATGGGGACAATCTGCCCACGAGGATAAAGGACCTTCGAATTGTATACAGCAGTCAGCAGGGTGGTGCTCATCTCTCTGTTGGTGGCCCTGAGCCAGTGCTGGAAATGCCACATTCCTATACTGGGAGCCTTAACCTTGCATTGTACAACCATCGTTGATTTATGCCAGCTCGAAATAGGCGATGAGCTAAGTTGAACCACAACCATAGTATGAATGTGTTGCTTTTCAATTGTACACCGAGTGCTCTAACCATGGTGCCACATGACCAGAGCCATATATTACAGAACGCCTCCTATCCATGACCCTATTATCCTTGACACGTATTACCCACAACTTGTATTATTCGAGGCACCTATAGGGTTTGCGAACACTCCTATTATCTATTCCCTTAGTCTTCCTTTCATCCACAGTTATCTGCAATTTTCCTGTCCTGAATTGCAGGGGTGTGAATCGCCACAACGCCCATAACTGACTGCATCCTCGCGTGTCTTCTTCTCTCTCCGTGCCCTTGCTGCCCAGGTGGGCTACAGGCAGCAGGGCAGCTGGGGCGGAGCCAAGGGCAGGAAGATGGTGCTGCTACGGGCCGGCAGCGGCCACACGCGCCGCCACACCATCCACACCCCACTCAGCCCCTTCTGCAGGTGCCTCCATGTGCCTCAGTTGCGCTCCACCACTCCTGCTGCTGCTGCACGGTGCTGCCACGGCCACTTTTCCATTGCTCACAAAAATACATCCCCATATCGCTCTCTCCACACATATCAATTGTTTTTTTACGGAACCCACCAGTCACACGGACTTCTGGAAGAGTGTCATTTCGGCAACATCTGTTGCTCACGAAGCAAATTATGGGCCGGTTTTAACACTTAAGTGTGTCGTTCACAGTCAGGCTTGCTTGTACGTACTGTATGTTGAACTTATTTCGCACCGACCATAGCGAGCGGCGCTAAACGGAAGTGCGTGGGAAAGATAGCAAACTAAACACAAAAAGCAGTTCTAAAGAACTAGTGCTGGTGAACTGCCAGACCTTTATAGGTAAGAGCCCTTTCTGTTAGATATGAGTCCAAGCTTCGAGCGTGACTGATAAAATGTGTAAAAATATATATGTTCCTTTTGTTTTATATGGAGGGACGGATATTAAAAGTAGGCGTATTTTCTTCTTATTTATTTTGTTACTTATATTCCACACAGATCCCTCCAGAATCAATCAATGAGTACCACATTTCCCAGAGCTCAGTGGTAATGGAGAGACTGACATTCTCCTGTGTTGATTTTCTACCGTTGGCTCAGAGCCGTCAGTAGAGATTAGTGCGACTTCAATGCATGTGTGAGCATAGAGACGCTGCCATTTGCTTTTCCTTTGTTTTGACTGTGAAATCTCATACAATTTGCTTACATTTTCCACGAAAAGAACATTGTTCGTGCTCTATTAACGCCGAACTTTATGAGAAATGCCGTTGCACCGCACCTTGTGTACGATGGAACATAGGAGACACAAATCGTCGCGGCCCTCTGAACAATCGCAAACAGCTGCCACCTCTGGCAACGCTTTTCCCCTTCCCCACCGCACCCACAGTGGCCACCTTTGTAGCGATCACGGGACGTCGGCATGAAGATTTACAAACACAGTAACCACCCGGCACAGTTGTGCAATGAGCAAGGCTATTGTTTTTGTTTAAGATTCAACGATAACAAGCAACTAATGCAAAGTGCATACAGAGTGCCTTGCGCCTCCCCGAGAGAGCATTTGATGAATTATGGCAGATATATATTTTGTTGTTTGAGAAGTAAATAAAAATGCCCATTTGGTGTGATTTATACATTACAAGCAGTCCAGTAAACGTGTAACGTCGGGTCAACGTTGGCGTGTATTTGAAACCGTTGGACCAATGTTGGCCCAACTTCCCATGTTTAATGGGAGGCCCTCTTAGCTGGTGGATCAATCTGTCATGGTGAGGCCAATGACAACACAGAGCTCTCTTTCCAGACTTAAACGTACTTCCATCATAGCCACACTCACTTGAGGAGATGCCCATCTCCATTGCTGGCAGTGTTAAAGTTTGCGGTTTTTATTTATAGTTAACGGTGGCTAATGAGTTGATGAACATCATCAAGCGTCACGATGGCTATGTGGAATCAAAATCCATGCGTGACAGTGACAAAATGAAATTAACTAGGATGAACGAAGATGCAGACTAAGATAAGTAAGGTGATGAGAGACATGAGCGCACCGAAGGAAGCCAAACATGGAAATGTGCTGATTGTTATTAATGATTAGTTATGCTCGTTTACCCAGGACAGTCTCACAGAGTCTTTTTCAGGACAGTCCATGAACATTTTCGCAATCGGGGGCGATGTTGCTTTTATGCAATCCCAACTGAACAATTCACAGGTCAAAATGTCAGCATTGCCATGCTTGGCAAATACCGGTTACATTGTATGTTTCTTTAGCTATGGAAGGGAACTATAGAACCCAGAGGAAACCCATGCAGATCAAGGGGAGAGCATATACAAACTCCCGAGATGGGAATCGAACCCAGACCCTTCTTGCTCTCAAAGCGGAGTATTAACACTGCGCCTGAAAGCTGGGAGTATACCGATTGATCGTGTTCACTGATTGGCTGACGGCAAGGGGGAGATTTGGGAGTCCCTCGCACCAACATGTAATAACTAAATGTTTGACTGGTTTTGCTGGCCATGACCAGTCCTTCTGGCAGGGCCACGTTTCTCTCGACTCTCGAGGTAAGCTCATGTTGACTTGCCACTAAGTGGTACTTATTGCACACCAACCGGGGGTATAATGGGCCCGAGGTGACACGCAGACAGCATTTGAGCTTACAACCGGAAGGTTGTGAGTCAAGTGTTCTATAACTATAGTGCCAAACGGATCAATTGTTATTTGAAAATTGTTTATATTAGACGTTCTTCGGGTTATATGACATCAGCTGTCGACCGTTTTATTGCTTTGTTCCGGAGTTAGCAGTGGCATCCCTTCAAGTCAGACGACCGGACTTTGGAAAATTGCAGACCGACAGTGATTTTAGCATCGTGACCTTTGAGCCCTAAAGGGATAATAAAGTCAGGTGACCCATACAGCTTTATTGCACCGTGAACAGGAGTGAAGTAAAGCCAGGATTATGTTTACTATTCCTTTTATAACTCCCCCTAATAAAGGATGTGTTCAAATGTATCCGAGCAATACCGCATTTAAGATGCACTTTTAGTGGCTGCGTTGCAAAGGTGTATTGTCTTTTATTGGGCCATTTAAACTCGATTTAGTACGCTTTAATCAAACAACCTTTGAGATTCGTATCCTCATTTTACAAAAGTACACAGGTCACTCTTGCATGTGAGACTATCCTGCTTTCTTGAATTCTCACGTGGGTAATAAAACAAAAAAACAGAAACTGAATCGTCGTGCCAATACAGTAATTATCATGGCCACATTTTTTACTCTTGCATGTAATTTTCAAATGAAGATTTTCGAATGACTATCATTTACAATTGTGAAATGTATAAAATAGATCATATAGTTTTTTTTGGGTTAGATCGCGTCAATATAAATGTGTCGTTAAACCCGCCACCACCCGACACAGCCAACTAGTAAGGGTTGTCACGTAAACAGAACGTGGCCAATTCGTCACTAGTACAGCACACCGGTGTATTGGAGAGCCAAGCCGCAACATTTACAATCTGAGTACGACGTTTCCCCAGTAATTACAACTAGCTTCATCAGGCGGACAGCCAGATAAATGAGCATCATCAGACGGACAGCCAGACAAATCTGGCTGTCTGCCTGATGATGCTAGCTGTAATTACTGGCGAAACGTCGTACTCAGATTTTAAATGTTGTGGATTTGCTCTCCAACACACTGGTGTGCTGTACTAGTAACGAACTGGCATGTTCTGGCAACAAAACTGACACCTTTTTTTACAAGGAGTCATGTTTGCATAGACCACAATACCTGCAGCCATAATGCAAACAAAAATCATAACTCTGATAATGTATGCACTGTCCTTGAAGTTGATTGGTCCACACCCGAGACAGCTTTCCTTAGAGCCTAGTCTCACATGGTGTTGGACCAGATGACGCCAAAAGGCGCACAACTCAAAGACAATGCACCATCAGAGTATGAGAGCTCGGGGTAAGCATTTATACTGGCAAATGAGGTTCCAATGGTGGCATGTTCTGTTTACGTAATAACCCTTACTAATTATCTGTGTTGGGTGGTGGCGGGTTTAACAACACATTTATATTGACACGATCTAACCCAAATAACTGTATTTTGGATGATATTGGTCGCCAAAACCTACGTGTTAAACTGTAAAAAGTTGAGTTTGTTTGTTATTTCATGGCAAATAAATGTACCTGAATACTGCATGTCATTATCCAAGCAAATAACACTGGTAATAATAAAGTGTTTAATCGCAGCAACAACCAACAATGCAAGTTTATCTGTATATGATTGTCACATCACTGAACATGGTCCATGTAACTTCGAAGTACAAAGTCTCGAATCAAACAAGCTTGGGGCAGCTCATCTCCTTTGACAATCTGGAGCCAAATATGTGAATTCCACGTTCCCATGGCAGGGGCAAGTGTATCTCTATTATGGCTAACTGCTGACTTCCCCCTCTATTTATTTCACTTGGTATTTACTTTGAAGTGTACCGTGTTGTTTGTGTTAGGGGAAAACAAGTATGACAGTTTATACCAATTACAGGCAAATACCTCGTTTGTTCGTTGTGCTATATGCCCTAAGGACTCTGTTCTTGTCGTCTGCAATGTTAATAGTTTTGTATTTATTTTGTCGCTGCTGCTGTGCTCACCGCAGAAACACAGATCACCCGGGAACTGTCTAAACGGCACCATCTGTGTAGCAAATAAAATTAACTCAAACTCAATTATGCTTCTCATAAAAAATGTTTATTCATACGGCATCGTAAGACACGAACCGGTAGACCGAACCTCGCCTGATTTCGATAAAATGTTCACTTTCTATGTTTGTGTCTGCATCTACACATCTGTCAGATCATCGCTTGACTCCTGAGAGTCCAACTGAGCCAAATAAGCATCGTCAGCCAGGTTCAATACACCTTTGGATGAAAGGTTCCCATAGCTGGCGCCACCTCTCACGGGCCTGTGTTATAATAATACTAATTATTATTTAACATCTGCTCGTGAACCCATGTGATCGCTACATGTCCTTGGTGGACGCTCCCACTCCGTTATAATGCTTGACCATCGCTCGTCATCGTTTCGAGCCATGACCGTGTGCTGTGCCCAACCGAGCCCATTCGCTTTTCTTAACAGTTGGTGACCAGATACAAACATTGAAAACGTACGTGTTTATGTTGAAATTATTTCGCACCGTACACAGCTAACCGTGCTAAGCGAAGGTGCGGGGTAAGGACAATAAACTCAACACAAAAATAAGTTGTAATGAAATTCGCTTTGAATCTATCTTTGAAAGTACATATAGCGGCAGTGGCTTCCTAATATCGGAAGGAAGAGCGTTCCAGACGGCCGCAGAAGCACATAAATAACAGAACATAAACACTCCCCATATCCTGCCATCGTCCCCAACTCCCCACTCCTCCCACACATACACACTATGACCTTTAACTTAGATGGCATGGTATCCTCTAATTACTAAACTGCCATCTTAATAGCTGGCTTAGACCTGTTTGTAAAGGCCTTCAAACATAACACTACAATTTTACACGGTACTGCACTCAACAATGCTTCGAACATATGAAGACGTGCTTTAAAAAGTAATACAAACATACAGTATAAGTAGATTCGATAAACTCCTGACGTGTGATTGTTTTTCATGATGCCCTCGATGCAAGGCTATGTTAGCTTGCACAAAACTAAATATTTGGTTGTACAAACAATAATATTGTATCTCACCATATTACGCTAATGATGTGGATTGGTCGACTGATAGCCTATTCTTTTGGTCATTGAGGCATGGCCACTTCTGTGCAAACCTCTGCATATTTCAACTGAGATAATTCATAATACTTTTATTATAATAATACTTGTATTGTTAGAGTGCAGTTACTTTTTTAGTTTTTTGCCTCGGAGAACCCTTAATAGCTTTCATCCCGTCCAGTGTAAGATGTTTGGGCAGCCAGTCAGATCGTGGTCCTCTTCGTCCTGTAGCACCTGGAGTGATCGCTTATTCACCACCCTCTGCAGCTGGTCACCTGCTCACATGTCTGGTATATCCCTTGTACCTGACCTAAGAGCCCCCGAATCTTTGTCCATGCTTCTACCTTCCACGGCCCTCTTGTTTGTTGCATTTCTCTTCATGAGACATTTTACGATTTCTCAAGGAGCCTTTCGCTTCGAATGCAAGTGATTCATTCTCCTTCTCTCTCTTTTTTTTAGTTTCACAGCCCAAATGAAAGGCACCTACGTATCGCTGTTGAATACACAGAGCTTAACAGTTGCCAATCTTGTCTTTGCAGCACGACCAGTGGAGAGGCAGACTCATCCGTAGCAGAGCTGAAAGGCGCAGTTGGTCCGGGGGTTGGAATCAAAGACGCGGGCAGCGACACCCAGGACTACGAGGAAAGAAGCGGCTCCGAGAATCCATCGGCAGGAGTGTACCACGCGAGGAAGGCCATGTCCCGCCTGGCCGTGGGAGGGCCGTACACAGGCAGCGAGCCTGCCGAGGCCCCTGAGAACCCGTGATCTGCACGGCAGGTATGGCTGATGCTTGTTTAGTTGCATGTATTCTTCCCGCCTACTCACAACAAAAACAGCAACAACAACAACAACAACCCCGGGAAGCTGCCGTGGTTGCCGTGGTGTAGTGGGCAACCGACTTGACTTGCGACCCAGATGTGTCCAGATGTCGCCGGGATCATTCCCCCCAGCGTGGAGACTGAAACTATGGTGCAAGTTTCCTAACCCCCCCTCCCCCTTCTTCCAACCCAGTAGTATAACTGGGTGCACCATAGTTCGTGGTTCAGTAGGCCATGTGCGGTGTCTAAAAGGCGTGTGTGTATGTTGGACCTCTTTATAACCGTACGTAGCCGACCGTGGTCATCGTTGGTGCGGGACAAAAAGGTGTGGGTCCTCCCACCTCTTCCATGATGTCTGGCCAGTGTGAAAGAGTAGGCCAAAATACCCTCGATATGTTCAAATGTTTTCCCTGCTCAAACAAATGCTGCTCATCCCTCCCAGTGCCCCTGTGCTATTGGTGGACATGCCACATGCCAACGGGGAAGGCCATTCTCTCCAAATGGTAATCGCTGTTGCCATACTTCAAAGTGGCACTGCACTGTAATCTGTCTATAATGGTGAGTTGATGAGCTTACTTGTAACCCCTGCCCAACACTTGGACTTGCAGCCTTCTGATTGTGTAATCCCAGGCCTCCCTTGTAAAACAGACTTTTGTCCCAGTGGACTCTCACCACGTTATCAATACAGCCCGAGTCCGTATGTGAGTCACGTGCATTCTGCCACGATAACATCCGAAACAATGTACATGTGCTAAGAAAAATGTTTACATTTACATCTAATTTCTTATATATTCACCTGGACATAATGTATACATTATGTTTGCTGCCCTTACACATTTGCCACGTCCGTGACCCTGAAAGCGTTATATTCTTTGCCCTAGCTATGAATCGCATTGAGATGATACATAAATACATATTAAATAGTAATGGATTGAAAACTAAGTTTGTCACTGCTGTCGTTGCTTTGGTGTGCTTCCTATACACAGAGCTGCACTTTCTTCATCTACATTGCTGCTTGAACCTACCATTACATATTTATTCAGATGAACACCATTGTTAACAATGTGTACTGAATATTTAACAGCCCTTCGTCAAGCCAATGCTGTGTGAAGGGAGAGAAGTGACAAGACGAGGTCAAATATCGCTCGCCATTCGGGTTAACTGCAGCTGGGACGCTAACACGGGTCGCTCCGTTCGTGGTACAACGAACTAATCATTGGACCCAGGACAATTGTACGTGATTAAAAACTGATTTCAGTTGTTTGCTCATCAATAAAAATCCTACCTGTATAAGTGGGTTCGGTGAATGTGTTTTACCATATCATGGGACCTTTCTTGCCAGTATGAAAAATAATAATATGTTTCAGTCTTTCTGTCAATAAAACAGGTGCTAAGATTCATATTCGTGGTTCTTTAGGTAAAGTCACGTAGAAGGGAAATAATAAAATAATAAAAATATAAAACAATAAAAAATTCTCACGACGTTTCGACTGCAACACAAGAAATCATCATCAGGTGTGAAATCCACAGTAAGAAAATTTTCTTGCAATCATCATCAGGTGTGAAATCCACAGCAAGAAAATGTTCTTGCAATCATCATCAGGTGTGAAATCCACAGCAGCTGCAATCATCATCAGGTGTGAAATCCATAGCAAGAAAATGATTGCAAGAAAATTTTCTTGCTGTGGATTTCAAACCTGATGATGATTGCAAGAAAATTTTCTTGCTGTGGATTTCACACCTGATGATGATTGCAAGAAAATGTTCTTGCTGTGGATTTCACACCTGATGATGATTGCTTGTGTTGCAGTCGAAACGTCGTGAGATTTTTTTTATTGTTTCATAGGTGCTAAGATGTTCAAACATCAAATAGATCCCTTTTTGCAAGGAATCAAGTCTGCATTAGCCACACGTACTTGTGGTGAACATGCAAACACAAATTCTGATCAGATATGCAGTGTCTTTGTGTAGGCCAATCAGTGTCAAAGACAATTCATGTATCATCAGAGCATGTGTGTTTTCTTGTTCACAAGTACGTGTGGTTAAATGCAGACTTTATTTCTTGCAAAATGTTTCTATTTGGTGTTCGAACATCTTAACACTTGTTTTATTGCCAGAAAGGCTAAAACCAATTCTTAATTTTCATACGTGTTTTTTTTTACCATTTTCATGAGAGAGAGGGAGAGAGAGAAAAACAAACTTGCGAACAGAGTGCTGGCTTTTTCAGCCATTTAACAATTTCAATAAATTAGTCGGTGACGCTGCTGCATTGGCAGCGGTGCAAAAGCACAATTAGCAAAAAAAAATCAACAAATTCGTCCATAATACTGTGGCCTCAAAAGGGAAAAAATATATATATTCAAACATGTACATTAAAGTTACGAGTGTCTCCCTGCTCATACAACATTGGGCAATGCTCATCCCGATTGCAGACTCTCAGCCATTGGGTCACAATTCCACATTCCTGATGCGGGAGCCAGTCTCTCCCCTTTTTGTTAACTTCTCACGGAGTGGCACTTATGAGTACATTGTATTGCATTTCGCAAAGTCAACAGTTTACCGACGGCGCGATAGGCATTCAACTTGACTTATTGACTTTCCATTCATTGTTGTGAAAGTCAAAGAGCAATCAATTAAAGATGTGCTTCACCAGGCAAGGGTCACTGGGTTACAAAGTCTCTTTTACTAAACAGACCTGGCCGAGATGACTTAGCATAGGCAAACATCTGTTTGGCAAAATAAACAGCAAGGGTGGAATCAATCTCACTTAAGCTGTAAGGCCCACATCAAACGCAACTATTGCTCATACGCTGAGGAAATGTATGGGCATGCACACTACTATACGGTAGAGACACAACTCTGCACCCCTTAATGTTTTGTTGTCAAACGTAATTTTTTTTGCATTTGCTGTATCGGCTTTGAATATCAGATAGAAAAGAAAAACTAACTGCGAGAAAGCACATTTTCGGTTGAATTCCTTCAACATAATAATGGGAGACAACGGTTCTGAAAGCGTACAGAATCATTCTGCCGTCGTGTGTCTCCACATTTGTTTTGTTCCACAGGAAAATTGTCAGTGAAGGTATTATTACTCCAACAATTAACATCCAGTTGCCAAACGAATACATTATGAGGTTTGCGCTTAGTCACTTTAAGATGTTTTTTTGTTCGTGTTTTTTGTTTGTTGCGGTTGCACCCGATTCAAGAGCCGAATGGCTCACAGGGCTATGCCAAATAAATGAAACTGAAAAACTGAAACACATTAAGTGCTTGCCACAAATGAACCACAATACCTTGCTGATCTCGTCAAGGAGCACAAACCATCACGCAAACTCCGGTCATCCTCACAGCGGCTTTTGGCTGGCCATCAAACAAAGACAGCCACTGCATCGCACGCTTTCAGATGTGCTTCTGCGGCCGTCTGGAACTCTCTTCCTTCTTATATTAGGAAGCCACTGGACCTATGCACATTTCAATCCAAATTTAAAATTAATTTCTTTATCACTGATTTTTATGTTTAATTTGTTGCCCTTCCCCCGCACCCCTGGTTAGCATGGCTGGCTACATACGGATGTGAAAGAAGTTCAACATACGTGCATACATACTCTTAAACAATAATTGGTGCAACATTGTTTATTTATTTATTCGCTATAAAACGATTTATATCTCAGTCCTGGCGAAGGCGAACATCAGCGGTGAGCGGCAATATTCGAGCCAGTCCTGTCAACAACCCTCCCGCGCTCTGCCCAAACCTTTCTCACAAACTCACACTGAACACTGGTCAAGTATGGTCGAACAATCTCAAGACCGACACAGCGTGCGGAGGCCTTCATCCAGCAGTGGATTGGCCGTTACACTGTGTACACTGCTTCTCAGTCACCATATTCTCCAGATTTTAAGATGTGTTCCTCGCACCACCATCCCACCGCTGTATTTTTTTTAGTAAAAGTTGAGGCTGCATCTCATGTTCCAGATGGTGTCAGTGTGTGACCACATTTGTATGTGGGGAGCATTAGCGTATCGCTACGAACCCGGCGACCCGAGTTTAATTCCTGCTCATGGCCAAAAAGAGTGATGAATATATGAACCAGTTCCGGGGCACCCCTAGGTCGACTCAGCCTCAAATGAGTACTTGGTGTAGTGTGTAAACATCGCCACTGGGGAGACAAATGCAGTCGGGAGTGATGCCATGCCGGACTTCATAGGTGCTCGCTAACAGCACTTGCCCAAATAATATGTTCAGGCTATAGGGGGGATCTTTGTCTTTGTATTTTTTTACATTTGCATAACTTTATTGATACCGGGGCACAAGTTTGACTTGCGTCTTACTTTCCGTAAAATATTTGAAGCTTGTTCATGTTTTTATCTTTTTTTTGTTGCGGTTGCACCCGATTCAAGAGCCGAATGGCTCACATGGCTATATCTAATTAATAAACTTGAAACTTGAATATGGTACAAATTGCCCATCACACTTTTTTAAAGCAATTCTAAGTTGAAAATGTTTTAAAGTAATTTGCAGAAGCAATTTTCATTTTCCGAGATATACAGTTATATTTTATACACTGCTGTGTGATGACACATTTACAATGGAAGGCATTGCATCGGAAGGCACTTATATAAACACCACCAACAGTAGTCGCTTCGCCCTGCAGGGGAAACTACCAGAGACGTAAGACAACATATGACGAGTAGCCAGAGAGGAAGACGAAACTCCAACAGCGTCATTGAAATGGGCACTGAGAATGTGATGACCGAGGGGAAAACCTAAAGCCAGATGGTGTTGACTGTGCAACAACTGTGAGATCTGCCAGAAGGAAGGAAGTGATGCTGAAGGTGTGGCTGCATCAACATGATTGTTTGTGCCAGCCCCTTTGTCAACATATAATTAAACGTTTGTATCCGTAAACTTAAGATGTGTGCATTTAAATCGTACGCGCTACTCTTTGTGAAGAAACAAAA